AATATGAGAGATATATTCTCAGTGTTATATGAATAATATAATGCAAAATTTTGCAGGATATGGACCTTATTGAAACAATGATTTTTATATTCTCCGTATTTCGTAATCATATATGGCCGATAATATAATGTGGAACTAATTAAGAAATTTTTTCAAATTCAATCATTGAATCTTACTAACTTCAGGATCGCAAATAGACCTGAGACAATGATGCGCAAGAAGAGACTTCTATTGTTAGATTGTTCAATATTTTTACTATTCAGACAAGGTATTTTGTCTATATTACATAACAAAAGAAGATATTCAAAATGATTGAGATGTTAGAAAAACAAATTCTTACATAAAAATATGAAAAATTGCTGTCTAAGTACTACATTAGATTAAACTGTATTTGATTCCAATACTAATCTGATAAAGATCAGTATTGGATAAATCAGATACGATAAATATAATCGTAATAGTATATAATGGTATAGTAATATTGTATAGTATTATATTTGGATTTTAGCTCAATAGAAAATTAAATCTTAATAAATTCTATATTTCTCATCCATTTTCATATGAGAACTTTGTAAAATTATTTTAAAATTAATATACAACATAAAATAATATGAAATATATATCTACAATATATTTAATGTACTTTAAGAAATTTGTGTATTATTCTTTAATGTAATTTTAGCACTTTGTATTCTATGAACAATAAAATCGGAATTAAGTTTGCAGTTTAAAAAAATAGATAGAGAAGAATCTAATTGCTTGATGGATGCATGAATGTGCCAAAGTATATTATTACTTTTTTATTACTCTACAATTGTCAAAATGAACGTCTTTACCCTCAATTTCTCTGAACCTATGTCTAGGTAAGTGATTGTGGTGGAAGGTTATTGTTGAGAATGTGTTATTTACAAGAGTGAGAAGTGTGATTGCAGTTTTAAAAATAAATGAGACAACATTTTTCTATTTCTATTTCTGTTTGTCTATACCTACTCAAGTCAAGAATGATATTGTTATTATTATGTGTTATTGCACAAGTATATCCTGTATGTATATCAGTGCAATACATGTAACGATAGCAATACTAAAGTAGAATTTTGCCTATTTTATTTGTGAAACTGTAGTCATACTTTACACTTACAATACTTTATAATATGTTCTCAACAAACTATCAATTACAGTCGGTTAGCCATTAGCGACAAAATAAGAAAAATTTTATTTTAATTAATATAAAATGGATGCTTTTAATTACAGGGAAATTTTTTATTGTGAATACAAATTTTATATATACATATAAAATAATATAATATAATATGTATATATATACTGGAATGGGCACCGAATCGCTTGTCGTATATTGCTGTCCTACGTACAGTCATGTTCGAAACTTTTGACTGTTGTTGATATGAATTGATCGTATGAACTTTTTGATCTGCCTTTATTCTCAATGATGTCGCATCGTAGAGACGTGTGAGTGAAATACTAATGCAATTTAGTGCTTCTTGCATCTCAAATCTGGACACACTGTGGCAGATATTATCTAGTGACATGAGAAATGAGAAGCGGCAAGGAAATATATTTCGATGAGAAGTGATGAGTGAGAGCGGACGATAAATGTTTTTATGATTTAGAACGTTATCGTCGAAATGGGACCTCCCCCGGTAGTCACTGGAATATCACCGAAGGAAGGGCCACCTGGCACTCGAGTGATAGTGCGTGGAGAATTTTTAGGAAATAAAGTTCAAGATCTTATTGGTTAGTTTCACTTATATGTCAAAGCATATTAAATTTCCTAAAGATAACGAAATCTGTAATTATATATAAAATACATGTACAAAATATCAGTTTACATAAAAATAACTTTATTACTGATACTTAAAGTATGTAAAAATGCTAATGTTCTCACACATAAATGTCAGTACTTAGTTTATCAGCAACATTATTGCTGATAGTAGTCAGTTTGATATAAAGAATACTTAGATATTGCTTGCTTTGCAGGATTGACAATATGTGGATGCGACTGTCTACTATCTGCAGAATGGAAGTCTTCCAACAAAATTATAGCGAGATCAGGACCATGCAAAGGTCGTGGCGACATCATAGTGACGACTCGCAGTGGAGGACAGGGAACCTCAACGGTACAATTTCGTGGTTATCACGAGACTATAGGCCCTATGAAGGAGTCAGCTGTGTGGGTAGAGGAAGCTCCCATACAAAGTTTAGGTTGGGGTAGAAGGGCATTGTCACCTACAAATTATCAACAGGAAGATCCTTTAGGACTTAGTGTTGAAGGAAACGAGTAAATATTTAAATTGTAACTATAAATCATTAATTATATTTTATAATAATTAATTATATTTTATCTTAAAGTAAAAAATTTCCCGAGGATGAATTGATGGAACTCTTTGGGGATGGAAGTGGTGATCTTACGAGTGAAAAGTTTCATCCAGGATGGTTTTTATTACAGCATCATCATGCCACAACTTTGGAAGACTTGAAAGCTGGTTTGGCTTATCTTAAGAGAAAAGTCAATTCCCAAAAGGAAGGACAATTATCATTTCTTAAGGTAATTGTTTAGATAAAGAGGATTTTTTTTAATTGTTACATATATGTAATTAAATTTGAATGAAACAGGCCAATGTGGGAGCAGTAATGGAACAGCTAGATACAATAATGTCATTAAAAGATCAGTTTGAAGCAGATATGAAGAGCTATGGCAGCGATCCCACAGAGAAACTGGAGACAGCTATCAAGCAATCTATGTCAGAGGCTAATAAATTATTTGACGATGTATTAGCGAGAAGGGACAGAGCTGATGCCACTCGCAATGCACTGGCTGTTATGCAACGTTACAAATTTCTCTTTTGTATGCCGATAAACATTGAGAGAAATATCAAACGTGGCAATTACGATCTCGTAATTAATGACTATGCCAGAGTTAAAAATTTGTTTAAAAATACAGAGGTGGAGGTCTTCAGGAAGGTATTGGAAGAAATTGATAATAGAATTAGCAATTTCAAAGTGCTGTTGCGAAAAAAATTAGAAGAGATGCCGTTCAGCTTAGAAGAGCGTAAGAAGATCATTAGAAACCTTGTCAATCTCGACGCTGAGGGCGATCCAGCATGGGATGCAATAGGTATATATTTAAGATGAATATATTTTAATAAATATTGTACTCTCTCTCTTGAAAAAAAAGAGAAAATTCCAAATTTTATGTTTTAGTTTCACATGCAAATTATCTAGAAAAAAGTGTCGCCAACGCTATACACGAACATCTGGACGCAGTTAAGATTAATTGCGAGGATGGGAGCAAAATGTCCAAGTCTACGCCGATAAATATCAAACAGCTACGATCACAGAAAAATGACGAAAATAATTTACCACCACAAATCTCATGCGTCGAAGCGATCTGCGACATCGTGGTCGAACAATTGCCGGATTTGTGGAGATTAGGACAGAGTTACTTCACAGGACAGTTACATGTAGCAGTAGATGCAGAAAAGCAAAGTCTTTTTAAAGTATGTATTACCAAATTTAATTTTTTATCATAATAAAACAAAAAGTACATGTATATCCTCCAAATATTTATCGCCGCATCTAAAATGAATTATTTTCCTTAACAGAATTTAGTTTTATCGAGTATGCAACGCGCTATGGAGGCCATGAAAAGCACGTGCAGTCACGACGTAGAAGCCACATGGCTATTGCATATTTTACGTTGTGTTAGGCAAATGTACGCGTCTCTGATCCATCTAGATTTGCCTAGCGAAGCTCTCGATATCTTCGGATCATTTATATTGGATTTAAGGTACGTTCGAATTATCGCTTGGCACTTAACTTCTCATTATCCATGTTTCAGTGTGTCTTCTTGTGTAATATAGGATACAGTGTTTGGTCGCTCTCTTCAAACAAGGGGCGGACAATATAACAGCTCTGAATCGGAAAGAAACATGGCAGATAGAATACTTAAACGAGGACGGTGGTGTCACAAAACTGGTATAACAAAAATTTGATATTTTAGAGCGAATTCTAGTCTTATTGCAGATTTATGCAGTAATCCTTTTGTGCCGAGTAGCCGTACCTGTTCGAAGAAATAGTCCTCGAGATATCGAAACACGCGCGCGACACGGTGGTCGCTTGCGGTCCGCGAGAAGGACCGCTGTTCAATAATCCGGCCTATCAGATTCTTTATCACAATACAATTAAAACATTGTTCGCGTCGTTCGCACGGTGCCTACAACAATTGGCATTTAGCGGTTGCGAAGAGGCGATGGACAACGATGAGACGTCGGTCTCGCAATTGATCGGCTCGCCTTCCGGCTACAAGAGTAAACCCAGTAAGCATCAAGGACCGGTAAGTGAAGAATTTCGATGCGCTACGACAAGTAAAAAGGAATTATCCTCTTCTTTTAACGTCTTTAAATTTTTTTATCAGTCGTGGGAGCAATGTCTCTTGATCTCGTTAAGCAATATACGATACACGCTAAATACCGTTTTACCAAGAATCGGAGACGCCCTAAAAGCTCAAGGCTACCCGGAGTTATCCACCGCGGTGGGATGGAACTCCGATTGGACGCTAGCTGGAGACATTAGACAGCGCCGTTTTGGACGCATATCTTAGACGCGCCGATGCGATCCACTGGTCGGCACGATTGAGCCTAGCATGTATTTAGGCGGCTTGGAGTGGGACTTCGATACTGAGCCGAATCATTTAAAGCCGTACGCGCAGGAAATACTGGCGAATCTAATCGCGGTACACGCGGAGGTAATACATCACGTCACGAAATGTTGTTTGTTGAATCTCTGACATGTATCTATTTTTTTTTGCAGGTGCGCCGAGTTGCGCCAGCTTTACTGCAGCGGATCTTGTCCCACATAATAGAGACCATAGCGGAGGAGCTCGCGCGACTCATGTCGTGCGTCACGCAATTTCGTCCGGCCGGAATAGTTCAAGCTCGAACGGATATAATACTCTTGAGAAACGCTCTGCAAGCCTACAGCACGAGTAGAGCGAGGTAAAGGCTGAATACGAAAAGTTTAAAAATTGTGTCAAGACGTCGAAGCGATGTTGGAATCTAAACTGTCAATTCTCTCTCGCAAACAGAAGTTTCTTCGAGGAGGCCCTGGACGCGATTCCTCAGCCCGTGAGTAAGGAGGATCGCATGCGAATAGACGCCCTTTTGTCGAAAGTCACGACATGCATGAGACTGCAGTTGTCGTGTCTCGCCAGCAACGGAACGGAAAATATTCGTTACTTGACGGCGGATCCCGAGCGTGTTACAACCGTGTAATTTATCACATCATTTATGACCAAAGTATCACGTAAAGTGCAACGGCAACGGGTATGTTGTTATTATTACTTTATTTTATTATGATGTGTATATATATTACATTATACAACAGTTGAACAGCTTTAAAATGACAATTGATCTATACTTGCAAGTTGCAATCTTTATTTCACAATTTCTTATAGAAATTAGATAATTTTCGGCAGAATATCTATATGCGTTAAAATCCATATAAAACTTTGTACTGTTTCTGAGGTATATTTAAAATCTTAAACACTAAGTCCCGTTTACCATAATTAGGCTTTTTGAATTAATTCCAAAACACCGACATTCCCAGCTAATAGTACCATGTCGCCTAAAATGTAAGAATAGCGTATTATTGAAAAGTGAGATTGATAATAATAAAAGATATTCTCAGATTACGTGAATTGCTTGTGATATGAGGAGACATTACCCGTTTTAAACACTTTTGTCGCGTTTTTAGCGCCAACGATGCAGGGGAGGCCATACTCCCTCGCTACGACGGCGCCGTGGCTTATAAGACCGCCTAGTTCTGTTACGATTCCGGTTAATAACGGGAAATATGGGCTCCAGCCGATATCGGTGCAGTGCGTAATCAAAATGTCTCCGTTTTGTATATTCTTCGCTTCGGACAAATCAGTTATCACGCATGCTCTGCTCACTACGGAACCCGTACAAACTGAAGTACCATTGATCTTGGTGCACTTCTCTTTCTGAGATGAGGGATGGAATGTCTTCTGCAATGAAACGTTGTACTCGTTATCAATTTACAAATATAAAATATAGAAACATGAGGGAGGGGAATAATTGTGGATTATTCGATTTAGGTAACAAAAATAGCACGGTTTTGCGCAACGACAAACCTCTATTGGTTCGGGCATGCCGATAACAAATTCCGGATACTCAAGCTTCGCTGCTTGATGATAAATCTTTTTTCTGCGTAATGCTCTGAAAAATTTCAAATAAAATCGCGCGATAAATATTACGATATAGCCAATACGATGGATATAAATAATATATTCCGATTACTCACTTTCGTACAAGATGTGCGTTGTGATTATTCAGAAGTTGCCCAATCTCTTGGTGTGTCAGAAAAAATACGAAGTCTTCATCGGGTATAAAATTTTCCGCAACCATCAGAGCACCGAGTCGCTTGTAAGCTACTCTCAATTTGTGACACATAGACGCAATTATGCTCTTCGTCATTTCTCTGCGCGTGACGGCTTTTCGAGAGAGAGGTATTATGAATCGTAGAATCCTCCTGGCGAACGACGATATGTCCGTCTTCAGAGACGCTATGGTTTCCTCCACACTAAGCGTTTTGTTCGCGTGATTCTCTTCGGAAGACATCGCTAGTGTCTGAAAGTTGATGCAATTTATTTATTTAAATCATTGTTTAATTCTTGTCAAGTGCGCATATTGGATTATTTCATACCTGTATCATATTAATAATACTATCGGGTTTAAATATCCACGGCTCCGCGAAGAGGTCCAATTCCTGAAGAGCTCTGTGGCCATGCACGTCAAAGAAGTTCTGTAATTTTTCCGCGGCAGAAGGGCAATTCGATTTCAACCAATCTAAAGCTTTCGCGGGTTCGATTTTACTAAACTCCTCCGCTTTACCGCACTGTCTGATGCATGTCGCTATTTTACCGAGGGCTATCGGCACCTGGGTGCTGATAACATTGGTGCACGAACTCAGCAGAACGGCGATGTCCGCGAAATGATCGGACGTGAAGTCGCTGCTTCCCCACGTTAAAACCGACATTATTATCATCTGGTAAACGATATTCGAATATGACGTCATGTTGTGATATTTCCCTATCTAAAAAACATCAATATTTTAATAATATATGAATATTATATTTAGGCAAAGACATATTCATTTGAATTCTATGAACTTACCAGATAGACTTCTTCATATTTCTTGCTTATTGCACTGTAGAGATCGTGAGGTGTATCAAACTTATCAGCATCTATAGTGTATTTGTTGAAGATGTCGATCGCTCTTTTCACTGTCGCCTCATTCGCATATGCCACTCTGATCATATCACACGTGAAATATATCTTCCGCCAAGTGCTTATGACGCCGTATTTCTCTATCGCAGTTTGGTGCACTTCCGGCGTCATCACGATGCGTCCGCATATGGCTAGGTCTATCATTTTATTCGATATAGTTACTTTCTCATCAACATCTCGCAGAGATGACTACAAAAAACCACCATCGAATCACTCATTCCTCATTAGAGACACAAATCCAAATACTTACATCCAAGTAGTTTAGCACGCATCTCATACCGATTGTGTGAATAAGATTACTGTGAAATATGTTATATCTCGCGCCAATTGACAAATTCAGAATTTTTAACACTGTCGAAATTGTTAGAGGAGACACGGAGTGCGGAAATACTTCTCCGACATTGGCGAAAGTCAAAAGATCAACGTCGCAAGGCACTACTCCATCCAGCTCGTGCATCAATTCGAAATCCGTCCACGCGTAGATGGTAGTGATGGGTCTTGCCTGCAATAGAAAGATCTGCCCGCCGATAACCGCCCATTCTACATCTCGAGCTGATCCAAAAATTGATTCCAAATACAATCCTATTTTAGCCAGTTGCATGGCGGTCGCGTCGGATATCGAGATCCTCTTAGTCTCCCGCTCACTCAGATTACTTATAGTCACGCCGTCTTTGCTCAACGATATCTTTAGCGTCTTATTACCAACTGTCGAGCTACTTATCGTTAGAGTGTCATCCCATTTTCTATGAATCTCCAGAGTATCAGGCTCGACCAGCCCTGATACTACCGTCTGCAAAAAAAAAAATATTAAGATGATTGATCGTTTAGATAGTTTTATGGTTAAAAAAAATATTCTACTTGTTTCATTCGATTGACAGGTGCTAGGATATTAATGCTCAAATACTTTCATGATTTATTGGGAGATATCACATACCTCACCCAAGCCGTAGTTGGCAGAAATAATAATACTCGATGGATCTCCAGTTACGGGATGTCTAGTAAACATGACTCCAGCCGCTTCCCCGTCGACCATCTTCTGCACGCAGACAGCCATAGTCGCTCTTATAGGTAGTCCATTCTGTCGTCTGCAATCACGTAATTTCGTCGAATGCGAATTCGTTAGCAAGGTAAAAAAGTTAATTACCTGTATTCGACACTTTGATGCGAGAACAGGCTCGCCCAGCATTTGGCAACGTTTTCCACGACGTCATTCGCGTTCTTCACGCCTAGATAGGTTGCATTTTGACCCGCGGCCGAAGTTTCTTCGCTGTCTTCTCCGATCGCGCTAGATCTTACGGCGTACTGGATCTGCGCACCATCCCCTTCATTTACGGACGATTTCAACTTCTCTAAACCTTCCAATATCACTTTCACAATTTCTTCTTCGACAGGAGTGCTCTGAATAATGGACACCGCTCTGAAAAATCGAAGGTAGATTTAATTGCAACGCTGCAATATAAAGCAGAAATGTTAGACACGCACTTTTCACAATAGCTCCTGAGATCTTCCTTCTTTCTGCCGCAACTGATGTCTACTATATCGGCGATCGAGTCCTGTAACTGTTGGTGATGTTGCAGTTGCCGTTCCAGAGCGAGACTCGTTATGCAAAAGCCTTCCGGTACTGCAAACTACGAACAGATAAATTTATATCTATTCCTTAATTCTTCGGCGCGTTATAAATACATACGTCATCGGTGACGATGGATGTCAGAACTGCGAGAGAATATCCCTTTCCTCCAACGACGTTTTCATTTTGACACTGTTTGTCGGTGAAATGCAGAATGTATTTATCCTTTTGCGCGAATGTGTCGGGTCGTGTCAAATATTGAAGTTTCGCGACTGGGGTTTTGGTTTGCTTCGGTCCGGTGTACGGGTAGGATGTAATCATCAGTCCAACACCTGCATTATTTGTATAATTTTTCAAAAATATAGATTTAGAGACAGTTTGTGAGAGCAAAGTTTAGCTTGATAAAATAACTCCATCGAATTATCGTGCGACATAATTTGTCGATGTACCTTTGTTATTGTTTAACTCTATGCGCAGATTACGAGTTGTGTACGTCCAATGCCATGGCTGGCCGTTGTAGCAAATCGTTGGATTGCCCACCGTGTAGTTGATAATAGCGTTGTATTGCTTTCCACCCGCTAAGATAATACATAGATATTAATATCAAATGCGGTGCGGCAATTGTGCTACGCTACAAACGTAGATATAAACCTTTGAATGTAATCTTGTAGTTCAATGGAACAGAATCTCCTTTGTCGAAATCGCTCAGCTTCAGATCGGTCCAGTCGATTTTAGATATCACTCCTCCTACTTCCAATATGTGGCCAAAACACATGCTGCAATGAATTTCGTTTCACACACACACACACACACATCAATAATTTATATTCTGTTATTTTAATTAAAAGATATTTATTATTAAAATCCACGCGGTGAAATTGTAATTTTTTGAGAGAGATAACAAAGATATGAAGATAGCACACTAAATCTTTCTTCACGTGGGAAATTTTGTGCAAAAAATGACGATATTTCGCGGAATGTTAATGTATGCATATCATTTTACTGTGAAAAGCTGCGTTTGGTACTGCTCACGCCTAGATAGTACATGGCTCCGTGCGTTGTCACGCCGAGAAACGTGACGATTCGATGGAATTCGTGAGACTCGTGTTTACCCCCACGTCGCTGGCAGAGTCCTCGCAGATAAAGTGTGCTCGCACTCAAATCGCTGAACGTTACCTGTCCGATCATGGATCCCCAATGATCAAAGCCTGTGTAGTCTAGTAATTTGCTACAGACAAAAAAAAACGGACTTGTATCGCATTGAAATAAGACTGTTAGAGCGACGATTTACATTAAGCATCATATTAAGTGAAGTCTTACATTTTTTTTCTCCAAGAAGGATCCTTCCATGGTTCGTACGCCAAAGCGCTCGCGTGCAAAGAATTACTCCAGTCTTCCGGCCATTCCGATGATTGAGAATGCCTCATAAATCTGAAAAATGGGACGTACAATAATTATTTAATTAATTACATATTTTTATTATAACTTTATCCGCTCTTTGCTCACATGAAGTTCAAACGAATGTGCTCCACACTGTCGTCGTTGGACGCGTCTCCGCGAGATTGGTTTCGAAGGAGACCATTGTAAACGATTCTCCAACGTTGTCGGGGTTCCAACGCTTCAATCTTCAGGCCATTTGCCGACCATATCTGATCCGCGCCTCTCATAGCAACTGTGTCAGGATAATCTGCGCATCCAAAGCAAATATTGCAGAGCCTACTCTGTCTGCTATACATGTTACAATTGAAACTCACGAGGTAGCACGTAGACTCGGCCGTCAGGTAAAATCAATTGCAGGCTTATTTCCACCATGTGGTAGCTTCTGTGATTCATTTTGATCCATAACGAATTACCCTTCTGATCGGCGCCGTAGAACGATAAACTTTCGCAACTCTGCATTACACGAATGAGCGTGAAAATCCACTCGACATAATAAATTTATTTAGCGTTCATTTATTCGCAAAAATCACGCGCCACTTACGTTCTCGTCTATAATAGTTTTGGGATTATCCGTCACAGATGGTTGTAGGATCTTCTTTATATAATATATCGCGGTGTCGTCGCATGATTTACTTTTATTTGTTTTCTTTTTGATGTTTTTCAAATAGAACTGAGCCCACCATTGTTTCCAAACGTAATTTATATCTACAAAAAAAAAGGTTGATATTAGTACAAACGTATGTATTGCGAAGCGATTATCTCGAGCTTATCTCGAGCTTATCTCGGATCGAACAAAGTAAGCTATCATATAAATGTTAAAAAAAAAAAAGTTATATAACATGTGTATCAAGAAACGTCTTACCTAAACCCAGATTCGTGCTCTTGTTAAACCAAAGAAAAATCCACACAGAAAGAAAGAACAAGATTGTGGCAAGTATAATGTGATCCATCTTTGTCCTACGTAATATATGTACTGTGCTTTGCAATGCAATATACGATTATGAGCTGCTGCTTGTACTGCCAGGAGTATATATACACGCGAATGTCACCGTCAAGCGCGGGTAGACTCCTTGGACTGTCTCCTGTTACATCAGTGAATTAGTTAGAACACTGTGGCGTTATCACGTTCAATTTAAAAAAATTCAAGGCCCCCCTTCTCTTATCGGACATCAAACGCAATTGAAATGTTTTCACGAACTTGCGCGTGGTATCGTGATAAACGATTCACAGGATAATAGGACATTCACACCTCTCACACATATCAATTTTGTGCTCACAGAGGTAGCGCGCGATAATGTGTAATCGTTGCTGAATAGGCGTCCGGATAATAAGTGCACGGTTATCTGACATGACGTTTTCCCGTTGCGTGTGATATTATCTGTTATATAATTCTCCTCTATATGAATCCTTTGTCATGCCGCTCGTTTAAACGATCGTTGAACAGTCAAGAACAATGAACGATAACATCGGCGCGTTCGCGCCGATTTCACAATTGCGTGATTTGTTATCGGATCAATTGCAGGTAAGCTGAAAAGCTAACAGTGCTAGGTGTTAAAAAAATTTGTAAAAATTATTTTTTTTTATAACAACCGTATACGTGTATTAAGTAGATTTCCACATTAGCAATATAAATACTGTCTTTTTCGGCATACAATAATGCGTCAACGGAGTATTGCGGAGTTTTTAGGCCAAGAAAGACGATGACAATAAACAACGGATAATCGTTAGTTTGTTTTCTTGCTAGCACTGCCAAGGTCAACAGTCTCTTCTGTAATTGTATTGCTATCCATGCGCGATTTGTCCACCGGATATAACCTGCGAGTAATACAAACCAATTTTTAATGAATATGATTGAGATCCAAGTCCGATGAGAACTGTAATGCGAACGTGCCGTGCCAAATATCGCTGAAGACTGAGAGATGAGCGGCGGAATGAGTGGAAGAATAGGAAAGAACTTTCGCCTAAAGCAGACAGGCTATGGATTCTTCTGAGAATTAATGACGCTATATCCTGCCTCAGGTCAAAATGAAAGTGCAAATTGAATACGAATACGAAAAACTGACCTGAGATGTGCCTAAAAAAACTAAAAATTTTAAGGTATATGGATTATTCCATTTATGGTTGCTGAGAAAAATACAGACAAAAGATACATTAAGACTCGTACAAAATTTATTTTTTCATAAATTTGTTATTTATTTACTAATGAAATTCAATTAGACGTAAATACGTGAACCATAAATTCTTGAAAATTGAGTTTAAACTTGAAGTAATCCATACTTGCTTAATCAAAAGCGCTATATGACAAGATATACAAACACTAATTTTTGACATTCGAATTTTTCTCTACAATGTTGTACTTACTCGTTATTGCAGAGCTGAAATTTAATTGTAACTTCCGAGCAATCTACTACCTTCTTATCACGATTTTAATTCAGAGTAACGAAAGCATGTTTCGGAAATAATTACAGTTTAACTTTAATACGGCCGTATTCCGAGTGCTGTTGAGGTTCTTATTAAAATTCCTTCATCATGAATGAAATAAAAATTATTTAAAGAGAAAAAAACTAATGATTAATTTTGCACATTCGAAAGAGTCGATCAGTAATCTGCTTGATTCATGGTCGTTCCCGAGAAAAAGAATTTGCTCATGCTTTTGCTACCTGCGACTACTCCTACCTGCGACTAATCCTTTGTATATCCCAATGGAAATAGGACAATGAGTGTCTATTTTGAGAATTTTACGAGAAAATGGCACCCAGCTCATTGTTACTTTTCAGTTAGGTATAAAAGAGTTCAGTGTCGCTCAAACACAAATATTCAAACGAAGCGCTGCATTATAGTTCTCATCTAGTATCTCTCTCATTTTATATATATGTACATATTTAAGTTTTTAATATATATATCTATTTTGTACATATATACAAATATATTAAATAAATAAATTCTTACCATCTTTGATACAGGTAAATCAGAAAGACGGCGTCATCTCTAAAGCACGCTATCCTGTGAGCAGTCGGCATCGTTATAATAAAAGCGAATACATCATCGATGAATGTATTAAACGCTTTGTACATGAATGATCTCCACGGCAGATGCGCCACAGATTTCAATTTGTAATTGACGAATAATTGTGGCAGCATAAAAAGAAAACCGAATGCATAAACTCCATTCACCAGAGAATTTATGCTCCAAGAATACCAGCTGTAATTCAGTACAATTAAATTAACGGTTTATCTATCGGGCGTAGAAATCATTTTTTAGATAAAATTCCTTCTCTTACCTTTTATGTGGCTGATAAAAAAGCGAATAGATTGCACCAGCGATGACTAATGGATATAATAAATAACTGAGATAACGCATACTTTCGGCATCGAACTCCCTGGTTTTCACCTCTGCTGCGTTGATGCCGTCAGTCTTAAATCGTATTTTTGGCAAAATGCCATTACTACTAATCAACTCAACTCTTGATATTTTCTTTAATTTCCATAACTATTGGAAACGAAGAGAAAAACATATTTAAATTAACATATTAATCATAATATTACATTAATGTATTTACATCATAGGATAATGAAATATATTAATATTATGTATTGTATATTTAATATATGCACGCACCTCGATAACAGTGCTAATACCGGTAGGAATAAGAACTAGTAGAGAAGATCCCTCGTCACAAAGATAAAGAAAGATCACAGTCTGGCTGAACGCACGCCATATCACGGTCCACTTACTGAGGCCTGTGAGATTACTCTTTTTTCGCCAAAAGCTGACGTCATTTTTGATAGCGAGGAAATCAAACAACAACTACAATGCAGAAAATTTGCATATTTTTTTTTTATTTTTGCTGTGATAAACGGTTATGTTCTATTTACTCACGTGTACAGCCGCGATGAAAAATGTACCGCCCAGTAAGTAGATATTGGTGTCCGCAAAAATGCCCTTTACTTCATCAATGTCCTTATCGGAGAAACCAAGATTTTTCAGGTTCTCCATGGTCGCCTGCACGTGCAGTATCAATCTTAGCTTTCCCAGAGACACAGGCGAATATTCCACTGTGATATTCATCTTATTATCCTGCGGATTCATTCGTTGAAGATCCCGGTGCCGAGTTTGCAAGAAATCACAGCTTACGATCGGCAAGAATGTCAATTTGCCAATTATTCTGCAATAAACAAACAGAATACTTCTAACGGTGATACAATGTGCGCTGTACATCACAATGTTAATTAATAAAAATTTATGTATACTTTATATGATTCATAAGTTCAGCAGGTATGCTGTAGACAGGAAGCATAATATTATCCGTCATTATAGTAAATGTCACACGACTTTTAATGTGAGAAACTGGGCGTACAGCAATTTCTTTGGTCTTTTTTACAGTGGGATTCTTCTCACTTAACAACTTAAATGCCTCTGCTTCAGGTACTGTGTATTGCGTCATTTTAATAGTAGTATATGAAGTAAATATATCCTGTAAAATGTAAGAAAACACGAGATATTTCAGAAATTCAAAGAACTCTGAATGAAAACAGATATTTCATAATATTCTATGTTACATTACTTTTTGCAAATCAACAAATGAACTGCTCTGTTTGACAGAAGTAGGAACTAATAGTATATGTAAAAACAACGTTCCATTCTGCTGAGTTTGGCGTGGAATATTCAATATTGTTGGACTGCAAGGAAAAAGATACATTCGTTAAGCTTGTGTGAGTGAAACTCCCCTTTATATCATTTCTATAATCATTACCTAAACTTAATTAAAATCTACTTAAATTGATTCTCTTTGCTAAATCCTACTTCCATAGAGAAGATAAAAAAGTCCTGATTAATATTAGAGAATGTTTGTAGAAATTATTCCCAAAAAGAAACATTAAGGATAGAAACGCAGAAAGTCCAATCGTGCTTACATGGTTTGTGCTTGGCTGTAATCAAAGTTTTGCGTGGAGTATACAGGATCGACATCTCTGCTGGCAGGATTTTTCCTGACGGAGCTGTAGATGTAAAGATTCATTCGTGGCCGATCGCTTAGGTACGATTTGAGGCACGGTTTGCCGTCTTCACAGGCCGGCGACACGAACAATTGTGACAGCGTGTATATCGAATACACGATGTACGCTAAAAACACCTCGGAGAGGATAACGCTAAGCGAAGGCCACCGCATTTTTGCCGAAGACGTTTCGTGAGTCACGTATATCACAATAACGGATATGTATACATTATCGCGTTATCGTCGCTTTCCGGACGATAGATGTCCGGGCGATGATCGTTCTAGTTCGACGAATAAATATTTATGCACGAACGACGTGTCACCGGTTATCGCGGTCGTAATAAATACAATTCGATGTAATTATATACACCGCGCGCACTATTACTGATACTTCATTGGCTCTCGTGTCGTTACGTGTCGGCTGTGTGCATGCGTATTTTATGCGTTATATGTAAATTTCTTCTACGTGAACTCCATAAACGTGTAAAAACATACCGTTGGCAAACTTGCTATTAATCGATAAGCGAATATGATGGGAGTGCATGTAGAAGGCAACCAGAGATAACTAGACTTTTGAGTATGTTTAATAAACTTCAATAACTTTTGACACAACAAGATGTTTTCAAGTATGATAGAGTAATGAATAAAATAAAAAGTTTAAAGTTTATTTTGTAGCAATTGTATGCGTTAAAAAAAAAAAAACATGATATTGTCAAATTGTTGAGGTTATGTATTGCAGACTATTTGACAAGGTAAGGAACTAGTAGATTATGCAACTAGTTACTGCAACATGCAAGTAAATTTTACAAGGTTGGCATTATTTGGTCACGTGTTGATTATTTCTAGATTTCTACTTTGTCGACATGCAATATCATTGATGAATGAGTTTGCTCCATTTTTTTCAGATAGCGCTATTGTCTTAATTTGATGTTTAAATAATTTTCTCAAAACATTATGTCGTGAAAAGACTTCTCTCGACTTCGGAAGATATTTTTGATAACAATTTAATGAAAAATGAATCAATCGAGCGATTCGTTCTATGCGACATTAAAAGAATTCTCAATCAGACAAGTTAAGCTTCTGGAAAAGAAACTGGTGAGGTTATATTTTTCGATTATTTTCAAGTACCAGTTTATTTTAATAATGTTATAATTTTTGGCTAGTCATCTCAAGATATCTAACCTCTATATTTGAATAGAATCATTTAATCAAAAAAATAATTTCCATATATAGCATTTTATATGTATAATTTTTCCAGATTTACTAAAGAAAGACTTTAAATCGATTGACTTGAGAAATTGTAAGAATGAGAAATTGGCGTAAGAATTTGGCGAGAATATCTTGCGCTTTTTTTCTATGAAGAATGATTTTTTCATATTTTCTAGGTGGATCGTCACGAACGAGACGCAAGATGCGTTCGCTGTAAAGCACCATTCTTTTGAATCATTATTGCTCGCCGCCACCGCGATCAACAACAAGCACATCCCTGAATCAAGCTTACGACGAGCGTGCGCGACTTGTCGCGCGAGCACGAGTAGGACGCGAGTCGTCGTCGTGGTGTGCGGCCGCTGGCGGAGGGGCCAGAGAGCGCGTCTCCTGCGGATCACAGCTGGCGCGAACTCGCAGGGGTCAAGATGTGAGCCGTCAAGGCGTGCGGGGATGTCACGCTAAGAGAAGAGCTGCTTAGGCCCAGGCCGAGAGAGTGCGGGAACGAGAGAGGGAGAGAACGGTAGAGGTGAGGAAGAAGGAACGAGGAGAGCGACAGAAACGGGGAAGAGACCGGGGCCTCTCGCGCGCACGAGGGGAGAGAACGCAGAAATGGAGTAAGCTGAAAAAGGGGGATCGATCGGCAGCCGTCCGATTAGCAACGGCAATGGAGGACACGAGACAGGGGTAAGTACCCCTCCCCGCAGTCGTTTCCGGGGTTGAGAGCGAGTACTGTGACCCGCGCGACGCGCGTTACGTACGTTGTACGTGCGCTCGTCCGAGAGGAAAGCGCGAGCGCGCTCTCGCCGCGAGGTGGAGGAAAGTAGGGCGTCGGGGGTGGGTTGGCGGTGTGTCGGGGAGAACGGTCGGTCGGTCGGTCGGTCGGTCGGTCGGTTGGTTGGTTCGTCGCGCGCGCCAGAGCAGAGCGGGGGTGTCCCGCTTTTTCGTCGCCTCGCGACCTCGCCGCCGCCTCCGGGTGCGCGAACATAGAGCGAGGGCTTCTTCTCGGCGGTCGTGCGTCGCGAGGCGAGAATCCGCCGGCGGCGATGTCGACGGCTGCTGCTCGACTTGGACGGTGCGTGCGCGTTGACAAATGCAACGTCGAGACCACGGGGGTAGTGCGAAGACAGCAGACGGAGGTGCTGGTGCTGGTGCTGGTGCTTAACGTGGTGATTAACGGTGGTAGCGGCAGCGAGACGACGACGACAACGACGACGACGACGACAACGACAACGACGACGACGGCACATGTCCCGATGAGCCTCTCCGAAGGACGAGGGATGAATCTTGAGTGAGTGATTCCGCGTTCTCGCATGGAAAACGCAGTGTGAACTTTGATCGGTCCATTCTATGAACGCGGAAAGAAAGGAGGAAACGAGCGTTTACGCGTCTCAAGCGACTTTCTTTTGTCGCCTTAATTGTATCATCGCGAATGAACGGCAGAGATCACTTTTACACGTCCGTCGCGTCGAAGAGTCAGGCCTTTATCGAAATTAGACCGATTTCGATCGCTTCCGCGAAGCGAAAGGCACACCGTCGTTGTTGCTGACAGCCGCGAGTCTCGGTGGAGCCTTTGCGAACAGCGGTTTTCCATCAGGAAATTATTCATGCGGCACGGTGGAGGGGAAGATAATGCGAGATTTGCGTGTGCGATTCCAGTCCCAAGACGCGTGTGATTTTTTACCTTGCAATCTACATTTTACGGCGTAGAGCCGGAACGGAGGTGGAAATGAATTGTTTCGCCGACCTGTGTTAAGGATTAAATGATTATATTTTGAAGCGCAAGAATTATTCAGTACAAGAGAGCGTGGAAAATAGAGAGATTTTCGCTTACGGGATATTACGCTCGCCGGTTTTAAGCGGGATGAAAACGAATTGACGGACAAAACGATATACATTGTTGCTGTGTCATGTATTTCTCTTTCTTTACTTAGCGATATCGACGAGCGTTCTGACATCGAACTGCCTCGTGTAATCAATCATCAGCGTGGTATAGGAGGTACGATCGCGTATAACGTGAAGCACGGATACATTTACCAGCGAATTGAAATTGCGGCGTGGTCGCGTTACATTCAATTTTCCATATGAGAAGAAATCAACCCCGTGTCAATCGTCGCTTTTTCACAACCGCGGATAAATGTAGAGAGACGATCGGCTTCGTCTAATATCGGAAAACGTACTCATCGAAATCGAGCCTGCGTTTATACGATTTTTTTTTCACGTCACCAAAATATTCGCTCGGCAGTAATACATCGATAATAATAGATATCGGAATATTTTCCGCGCAACAGACGGGATTTTTCTACAGAACAGAGAGAAACTTTTACTTTATCGACGCCGCTTAGTGATGCATAAGATTTTGCTTATCCAAATAATGCATCTAATTATAGATTGACGATTAATCGAGCGATAAAGCGCTTTACGGGCTGCCGGGATTGTTATTTTTCAGCGTTTTTCCATTGAATTTTGCCGGCGCTTTATTCTTCCCGTCGAAATAAAAATCACGGACGATAAAACTCGCGCGATAAAATCCCTCGGATGCTCCTTTATCTCCGTAAAGTAGCCCTCACCCTGCAGTCTGCGACTTCCTGATTCACGCGTAAGGACGCAACTAACCGAGGGTGCATCTTTCTCGGAAGTCTTCGGAAAAATCTCTATGCGTAGACTCGCATTTCGCGCTTCGTATGCGACGCGCTATTAATAGAAGAGCCTTGTTAGCGGCTGCACCACGCGCGACCTGCACCAGATGTATCAAACACAAGAGAGCTACGTCAAGACACGTTACAAGACGCCATTCAATCCGCGAACGTCGCATGCAAGTTGTCCCGGATTCGCCGGAAACGTGTTCAATCGCAGATCTCCGCCAAGTATCTGAATTCGATTTTAACTTAACCGCGGAAAACCGATATCGCGCGCAGTCCTGCGCGTCAGACTTACAGTTTAATCAATTCTAATTGCAACTTCATTCATTTAGACCGTCATGTAATAACGTAATTCTAAAAAGACACTTAATTAAGCTAAAAAATTAAAAATAATTAAAACCACAATAAAACAACAATAAAATCGTACGTTTCTTCTTTTTTTTTTTTTGTAAGATTTAGCGCTAGCGGTTAATACGGTTGTATCAACTTCACGGTGTTCATCCTGAACCCGCGGAACACGTCCGCACTCGTTCGGGCGAACCGAGGGCCGGACCAATGATAATTGCTACCACTTACGCGTGTTAATGCGCGGCGCGGATCCCGACGGCAATTTCGCGCTCGGTTTGACTTTAGGGACCAAGCCAGCCGAGTTAGCCAGCCCGCGACGAAGGTGCACATATGCACACACATCGGTGACGATCCGCCGGCACAGACCGATCGATCTCGCCGACGACGCGCCGTATTTGTCGGAGAGTTTTTCGGCCGGCTGATCGGCTTCCAATCGATTCAAAGGGATTACTTCACAGTTTGCGGAGCTCACTCTCGTGGCTTTTTTTTTCCTTCTTTCTCGTCAATGATCATCGAAAGTGGTCTGAGTCACGATACGCGGGCGTATCGAGAACGCCGCGGTTTCGATTAAGTTAAAATCTCGACGCTAAACGAGGGTGTTTTAGGTCCGTCGATTAATTTAAAATCAATTTCTCTCTTGCGTTTTACTTCCGCAATTTTTCATCGCGATCGCACGATTGCACGGGCGAATATTTAATACTTTCGCCCGACAAATGAACACGGTCGACCACGACTGCGCTAAATTATACGGACATCGTGAATTGAGCGTGAAACCAAATGGAAATGCAGCATTTGCTTCAACTGTCCTCGATATTCTCGTACATACATCTCGTTCAACTAAAATGCGCGGACTTTAAGACAAATGAATCACCACTCGGATTTGAAAAGTTCGATCGCGCAAACACGTCAACTTGAAGTTAAAATGTGCGCGTTGGCGGAGAAAAATGTGTTCCATTTGAGCACGATGAGTTCTTCGTGGCAATCGGACAAAGTAGAGGTCATCAGATATAACTTTAATCAATGAAGAAAAAAAAAATATTTTCCTTAATTAAAGAGAAAAGTTGCAGATTTCTCCGCAATTTTCTCACGGCACGCGAGAAGATCTGATCGCTAGTTTTATCAGATCTTCGTCGAACTTTATCGCGTCGTGTGTAACCGAACGATCGAAGACTCGAGAGAGTCTTTTCGAACCGCAAAACATACTTGTATTGCTTTAAAATACTCTCACGTCGCGCGTCGAAGTCACGAACCGAATTGCTTTGCCCGATATTTCCGGCGGAAGCGAATCGAATGATTGATTTAACGGGGGGGTCACGCGTCAGGCGAAAGACTTAACGAATCTCGTCGCAATTTTCCTCGCCGCTAATAGTACTTTTTCACAACTTTTTTTTCCGCACCGCTGGAACCGAGATGGCTTTACAACCGGTTATTTCGAAAATTATGGCGATTCCGTTACGGCGGAATTAATGCAATTCGCGTTAAACGGCGAACGGCGTGTTTTGCGACGCGGAGGAAGTTATTATCCACGGGGGCGGAAGTTTTATTAACGCCGGTTTATAGTTTAATCCGCGATGCTCCTTCGCGTCGACGCAATCTCGTGGACATACTTAAGAGTAATTGCACGCCTGACCGGGGGAACGCAATTTTTTTCCACGCCTTTCCTCTCTCTTCCGCGATGAGAAAGGAAGAACCACGGCCGCAATTTAAATTTGCGGCTCACTTTTAATCACCGTCTTGAATGTTCGCTTCGCGGTTGTGTGCTTTCTACGCTTTGCGCCTTGCTTTTTGCACAGCGCAGTTTTGCACAGGCGGTCGGTGTTTTTCAACCGCCAAGCGTGACGAATGCCTAATTCTCCTGGTGCGACGGTGCGAACAGTATCGTATGGTCTAATGAAATCGTCCTTCGCTTAAACGTTCTAACGCTACCAGCGATTAACCGCTCGCTAAACCGAGCGGTCTGCACGCGCGTGGACGTCTTTTTTTTTCCACAAACAGCAGCCGCAATTTTTATCATTTCATGCGCCTAATTTATGTATCCTGCAGCAATTTGCGCGAACAAAAGATTTCGCGAATGTAAATCTCCCGTTTCAATTAACCGACATACGACGAGCGAAAAATATGTTGTGGTTTTTCCACGCCGACTAGTTTTTAGGCAAACAACAAAGTACCTTTCGCTAAACACTCTTCCGTGTGCAAAAGATTAAATATTTGTATTAATCGCGAAGCGGGAGAATACACGTAAGCGCCCTGTTGCAAATTTCAATCTGCAGTTTAACATGCCGGTGTACAAACATCTTTATTATTAACTATGAAAAAGGCAATTTCTCGAGCTTTATCAAGCGAGAAATCACGGCACGACGGTGTGGGTCGCGCGATATACACCTGTTGGCGTATTATTACATAATACTCGAGAGCCGCCGTGTGCAACAACGGTGAGGCGTAATAAGCGACCCCGGTGATTGGCGACATTGTGCTTCTTTTTTCCGCGCGCCACATCACGAGCGACGGACTGTGCTTTTTTTTCTCTTTCGCTCTTTCCCTCAAAAGTTTCGCACGCGAGCGGGGCGGAAGCGAAAAAGACTCACCCACCGCCGATTTTTCTCATCGGAATTTTTTCCAGCATTACCGTGGTCTGAGCACACGAAGATGGCGTCAGGATTGCCGAGCGCCCATCAAAGGAAGCTTGGACCAGCGCCGATAGCATCCTTCGAAGACCTGTCCGACGAGGTGGAAAACGTGAGTCCTACCCTCTGAGTCCCCACTGAGCCATCATCCACCCCGCGGCAACCGGGGCTCACTCTCTTTCTTACTCTCTCACTCTCTCTCTCTTTCTCTCTCTCTCTCTCTTACACTGAGATCCGCTCGGATCGGATCTCGAGGTACGTGTGCGATCGTATGAGATCGATCTTTCCCCCCCCCCCCCCCGTCGATCGCCCGTGAGTCCCGGTGAGAGTCCACCGCGAGAAGCCAGCCCGCGCGACCTGAGCCCACCAAACAACCAAACAACCAACCAACCAACCAACCAACCCCGCGTGAACTGTGCTGTCGATCCACGACAAACCGGGATACGAATTTGAATGCAGGGGGAATCGGCGGCGGCGGCGGCGGGGCGAATGCCGGGCATCGTCGAGGTCACCACACCGGCAACGCCTGGCAGTTCGCTCAAGACGCCCAGCACGCCGCGCATCGACATCAGCAGGGCGAGCAGCTCCTCGCACCATGAGGATAGCAATTCCAGGGATTCGTCGCCCGACCGGGAGCTCCTCGCAGGTCAGACTTTCACACTGGTTACTGCGCGTCGGCCGCGATTTCGCTCGGTAGATCACGCGCAAAATTTAGGAATGGTATTTACTCTGACTGTAATAAATTTAATTTAAAGGTAATTAAAACAGTTGGTTGATGAAACTTAATCTCATGAATGAATCAAACGCCGGGAATTACGAAAATATCCGAATTCTAATTCATTTCGAGGTTTATTAAATATATTTCGGACGTGCTTTGAAATTATTTGAATGCAATGTAACAATAAGCAGCTTGAGGAAATTTGAATGTGGAATAATAGAATATATATCGCGGATATAAAGATTCTCGTAAATTAATCACGGAATTAATAAGTGGCCGATATCGGATACATAATTAATAATGAGACATAAGTTAATCGGGCCGAGAGATGGTAATTTCAGGATCATACGAGGCACTTGGACTGTAAATGATTTTTCGCAGGTAATCCGGTTGAACGAAATTATATTGAATATTTCAACGTAACTAACGTACTCTGTGTTTCCAATCCTTTCGGCTGTATAACGCTTTTGTAGATCACACATTCGTCAGCTATATGTTAGCGCAAACAATTGGAAATTCGGAATAATACACATATACATTCTAACGGACAAGTAGCAACACGTGAACTGTAATTAGTAGGAAAACACATGTTAGCTAATTAGCGGAAATAGATTCCCGAGTAATATTATTAATATTTCATACGTGACCCTATTTAACGTTCCTCGTCGTCGATTTCATTATTAATTGCGGTAATGCCGCGCAGCGAGAATGCACGGTGGTCGAACATGCGCCCAAGATAAATGCGCACGATTAAATCACGGATGGCTGGGCAACGCGAGTGTAAGAAGAGAAACTTCGCGTGCACACAGGCCGTGCATATTTCGAATAGCTTCTGAAAAAGACGGGTCAAGGCCCTGATCGATTTCGGTAAACAGATCTAAATAATACGCCCGTGTTGATCGCTCACCTCGATTATTCAGTGAAATCTCGCACCTGCACACACACTCGGCGCACAAATCAATTCATTAGGACCCGATTAACATTTGGTTGAATTCTTCATTCGGTCACGCGGCCCTTAAGCGACACGAATTTCTTATTCGCTCGGTGTGCCATTCTTCGACTGCCACGGTCGACTTTTCGACGAATGTGGCTAATTCTCTCCTTTAGATCACGTGACAAAGAAGTGCCTCTGTAATTAAGAGTGAAATTAAAAAAATAAAGTCCTTAAAGTTGGAAAAAATCTATGAAATGCGATGCGATTAAAATTATTTTCTTTACGAGTGCATTAATTGAAGCAGTTTTGTTTCGGCGAGATATATGCTCGGCGGCCCACTTGTTTTTCTATTTAAAACAGCGTGTAGGAGTGATTTAATTATCCCGGCATGATGAATTTATACAGAATGTTATATAATATAATATATTAATAATGCAACGGAATCAAATGTCAACGGTATTGCGAGGTGGGAGTATGAATTTTACGTATCAACCCACATACGCAGGAAATTTTCTAAAGATAGCATGTAATTCCTCTGCAAAATATCAGACGTTCTTTTTTGATCTCAAAGGTTGAACACTTCTTGATTGCACCACCCGCAATTATAACGAAGTGTTCTCTCGGTCGATATTCCCCCCGCAAAAATTAACTCACTTTTAGAAAACGATAAAGTCGAATTTGCAAAGAAATTAGTAAAATCGAATTCGAGAAGAAACGATAAAATGAAAGAAATATACTGTTCTGATGGAAGTTCTCGCTTTGACGACATTCTACCGGAATGTTATTAGCCCCGTTAAACTCCACTTAGTGCCAGCTGGGAATAGTTGATGTCCGTGAATAATATCGTGCAGCACCATAGTTAGTCTAACATTAGTCGGCGACGACGGTCCTTTACGGTCCCCGTGGGTTCACCGTTGCCGGTGGCGTCGTAACCGAAGCATGACACGAGCGGAGACAGACTTGTCCGGATAGTTGGACACGTTTAACACGCTCGCACACCAAGTAGAAAGTATAGGAGAACACGACAAACTTGTTCGACTTGTTAGAAGTCGTGTAAACTAGAGGAGCCGATAGTGCAAGGGGGAGCGACACGCACACGTTGGTGTTAAACGTTTGATTTAGTCCACGTAGTAAACTTTTAGATTTAGAGGGTCACGCGCGAGTCAGCGGAAGGGTCTAAAAATGGAGAATCCTGTGGATTTGTAGGTGCGGATCCGCCGCCCGGCTGCAAGCTGACTCTGGGCTACAAGGAGGACGCCCAAGATCTCAGGTCCTCCACGGAGGAGCTGGACCTGCAAGATCCCGTCCACGAGCAGGATCTCAAGCGGGAGTCGAAGAGGCGGAAGCGGAAGGACGCGGACGGATCCCAGTCGGAGTACAGCAGCAGACAGCTGGGCCAGGAGCGCGAGCGCAAGGACAGCAACTGCTCGGAAATATGTCTGCTCAACATCAGCGGCAGGACGTCCAGACTGTCGTCGGTCGGTAGCCAGGGCTCCGGCGTCTCCGGCAAGCTCTCGGTCGTGTCGGCGACTTCCTCCAGGTGAGAGGAATGTTAGAAAAGGCATAGAAGACATAGAGAATGTGCTATCTGTCAGCGAGCTTTCGTTCCCCGAGAATCGAATCACCAGGCGCTTTGCTGGGAGCCTAAGCCGAAACTGCTATCTTCTTCTTCTTCTTCTCTGCAATTTGAATGTCAAAAGCTTTCTGTTTTATCGAGCGAGTTATGAGATTGATTAGAAAATAAAGCTGCTGTTTATTGAATTGTTACTTATCTGAAGTTTGATTCCCCGATCATACCCTGCGAATTTCCGCTTTTAACACGACGATCTTATTTAAGAAAAACGTATTATAAGAATCTGTTACTTGCATTCTAAGATCTATGTTCTGCTTCTCTGCGATTGAATGTCAAGTGTTTCATTGAATGTGAGATAGACTAGGAAACATAATAGATTAGGCTTAGAATGCATGATTCGCCGATGAGAGAAAATCGATTTACCTTACGTGAAAATCTTTTTAGATCGCCCAGCCCGCACAAGTGTCTGCTGGAGACATCGTTCTGCGGTAACAAGCCGACGCTGGCCGACAACCTGATAGAGCCGTCGAAACCGGAGACTGATGATCTTGAGAAGATACTTCTGAAGCGGGAGGCCGACACCACGAAGGCGTTGATCCCCGAGAGCATCAAGGTGTCGATGGTGGGCGGTAATCTAAAGCCGGATCCGTTGGATAAGCCCAGAAGACGCGGTCGCGAGGAGCGGAAGGAAATCTTCAAGCGGGAGGTGGAGATCACCAAGAAATTCCTAGAAAGGGTAAACATAGAGGTTGGTTCATACTTCGGAAAAGTTAAATATCAAAAAAACTTGTCTTTTACTTTCTGCGTCGATATTCCATCAAAAACACACGCAGGCGCGAATTGCGAATTAAAATTTTGTTGCAACGCAATCGTTTTATTAAAATTTTGTTAATATTCCGGTGTTAAAATATTTTTTTATATTATCTAATATTTCTTTATCAGACTAAATATTGAAAAAATAATTCTTAGATATTGTGAAAGTATTAAAATATCGCACTTCTGAATAAAAAATGAATTAAATGACTGAATAAATATTTATAATATGTTTCCTCGTGCCGAGGCAGGTACCGATTATAAAGAGGTCATTCGAGCATCAAGAATCGAGAACGTCGCAACAATCAAAGATTCTAGCACAAGAACTTCAGAAGCCCGCGACGCTCGATTTTAATGATAAGCGGAAGAAGACCCAGAACTTCAAGGAAATCGTACAGACGACACCTACGACAAGTAACCTGACTGGGAGTCCCAAGTTACCGAGGCATCAGAAGGTACGTGATCTCGAAGGCTCGCGAACGCCCAGTCCGTCATCGGTATCCAGGAAAAGCAGCTTTGCTTCGTTATTCAAGGTAATGTAATATCAAGATAACGAAAAATTTTCTGTTTATTAGTTTCATGCAAAGGAAGAAAGAATTTCTCACATTTATCAAGAAAAATATATAAAATACATATAGTTTTATTAATTAAAATTACTATTGGTTTTAATATATATTTTTTCCCCGTCTAGGAAAAAGTCTTAATCTTTTTTTTTTTTTTTTTTTT